CGCACTATTCGTCGACTATTCGCGGACTATTCGTCCACTATTCGCGTCACTATTCTAGTTTTATCAATTACTCTTGTATTCGTTTGGGTTTTTTTTGTTTTTTTATAATGACCAATAACAAGGTTTGTTACGTAAACATATCCAAAAGGTGCTATAAATCTGTCATTTCGCTTTCTACAGGGTGTATAAAAAAAAACTGAACAGATTTAAAATTGCTCTCAATTTCGCAAAACAGCTATTTGTATCCGGTTTTTTATATATATGGCCTCTTTGGGTACTTATAATGTAGAATAATGAGAAAAATTTCTCGAACTCAAATTTTGTGAACCAGGGGGGTGTGTCTTTTCCAACAAACTAAAAATGGCTCGCGCACAAAATTTAAAAGCTGCAATCATATTTTGAGTTAACAGATGGAAAATTTGTCGGGATTTTAATTACTGTACAAAATTTCAGACAATTTGGTTTAGTTTAAGCCGCTTAACTATTCACGCAAAGTTTCAATTTTCCCGAAAAATGAGCTATTTGCATGCTTAATTAATGCATTTGCCTAATTTGCATATGTCAGCAATATGCAAATTAGGTAAAGGCATTAATTAAGCATGCGAAAGGCTGACTTTTTAGAACAAAATGAATAGTTAAAGGGCTTAAACTAAACCAAATTGTCTGAAATTTTGTACAGTAATTAAAAACCCGACAAATTTTCAATCTATTAACTCAAAATATGATTACAGCTTTTAAATTTTGTGCGCGAGCCATTTTTAGTTTGTTGGAAAAGACACACCTCCCTGGTTCACAAAATTTGAGTTCGAGAATTTTTTTTCATTATTTTACATTATAAGTACCCAAAGAAGCTATACTGATATAAAAAAACAGATACAAATAGGTGTTTTGCGAAATTGAGAGCAATTTCAAATCTGTTCAGTTTTTTTTTATACACCCTGTAGTCTTCTCGCTTCCGTCGCCTATGCGAGTGGGTATTGAATTCGTTGCGGCTGTTTCTGTTACTTTTCGTATGGTAAATTTCCATAAAGCACTGAACCAGACGTCCGATTTCCTCCATCTTTGGTTTTACTTTTCTTTTGGGCAATTGACCAAATTATATACTGATAGTATAGCTATATAAAGCTCACTGATCAGCAGCGTGACTTACCCATATCTGTGGAAATGCCATGCAAAGACGTTGTTTGTATAATAATACATGACAAATGTACGTATCATGCACAACTCACAATAATACTGCTCTGTTTCCATGCAGTAACCAGTTACCTATTGTAATAATCCGACTTGTGGATGTTATAACATTTTCCCTTTCAATTAACGCATCTGTGTATAGACTTACATAGTATAACATGTCTTGGACATGAAATAAAGGTTCAGGTGTTACTAATATCACCATGTCGAGGCACAGAATAGGAAGTTATACCAGAAGCGTAACTCTAGTCGTTTCCTTTATTGTTTGACGTCCACGAAAATTTTAACTCGCTCACGTCAGGCCACGCCATCCTGGCTAGTACAGCCGGAAGTTTTTATCAGGATTTGGTAGGTACAAAGTGCCGGTTGTACTAGCCAGGATGGCGTGATTGATGACGAATCGCTTGTAAAAACGCGGACAAATGTTTGCTCGAGTTACGCTTCTGGTATAACTTCCTATTCTGTGGTCGAGGTAACTGATTTTATTACGGATTTCGTAATTTGTATTTTCTGCATCATTTAAATTCTAATATTTAAATAATTCATAACAAAAGTAATTTTCCAGGTCGAGATACAATTTTTTTAAATGATGACTATTAATTCTTCCTGTAAGAGGTGGGGGGGAGGGGCATGGACGGTGCACCCCCGCCAAAAAATATTTTGCACCCTCCAAAAAAGTTTTCCCAGCCCACCAAGAGAAATTTGCAAATCCCCGTCCAAAAAATATTTAAATGCTTATTGGGATAAATGATAGTAGTGTGATTGAAAAAAAATTGAACTACAGGTTAGTGAGACTAAAAACAAGCATTTTGAACTAACTATTAAAGGGGGCTTCGAGACCTCTGCTGCAGCTTGTTCGGTGGCGCCCCGCGCTCCGTCGCTCACCCAAGGCATATTTTAACATATATACTGGGGGGCCAAATTACCCCCCAGGCCCTCCTGTTGGCCCCCCACTCATGCAAAATTGCCCCCCCCCCCCCCACTCCTTGGGCCCTTTTAACACATTTTTGTGCGAAATCATGAAATGTGAATGTATATTGTTAAGTCTTTGTCTGTATATTTTTATCATAGTTAATGAGAGTATGTATGTAAACTTTAACTTTTATATATTACAGTAGTTTTGAGTTAAAATATATGTTGAAAGACAAGCACATTGCGAGTAAAAGTATTAAACATTAACTTTTTATTGTATTCAGAATTATTTAAAATGCCCCCCAAAACGCACTAAATAGCAATTTTGGAGTCTCCAGATTTCAAAATTTTCCCGGGAAGGATACCCCCGGACCCCCGTACAAAACTCGTGCCTTCGGCGCTCGCTCAATGGGCCCTTTTCCAAGTTAAGGCCCCCCACTTGTAAATCTTTAAAATATGCCTTGCACTCACCCCCCTAAATTTTCGGCAACCCCAGAGCAAAATCTGAAAATCCGTCTATGCATGGGGAGGGGGTGGGTATTGATAGGGTTCAGCACCTATTAAGATAGTGTTTCCTTTATTTTGATTCAAAAGTTGAATTACACAAATGCAGTATCCCAAAGTATCACTAATAATTAATTTTAAGCGCGTTTGTTATTTTGTTAGCTTCGATGATTCACTGGACTCGGCAGATTAAGGAAGTGTTGAGTAGTCAGGATACATATGAAACTGCTGAAACATCTGGACCTTTGGAAGAAATCCAATTTTGGAACAGTAGATGTATGGATCTGTCGGGAATCAGTGATCAACTTGATAAACCTGGCGTAAAACATATTCAGAAGATATTAGAGATGGCTAAATCTTCGTATGTTGCTCCATTCAAGAAACTTTCGAAACTTATTCAGGTATCATATTTATCCAAGAGGATTGCGTGTTTACGCGGGCTCGTATTCGTGCTGATTAATTTTTAATCGGCACACCTTTGCGATAAATGTTTAATCGGCACAGCTTTAACCAATCAGAATGGAGTAAATTGACTAAAATGATATTATGTACATGATCTCACCCTGCCTCGTCCCTCACGCTTTAAACTTATGCGTCTTCTTTTCTGTTCAGGATGGATCTGCTCAAGCTCAAAGCAATCTGAAATTTCTGTCCACACTAAAAGAACCTTGTGAAGAACTTGCCGAAGCGAAACCTAAAGACATTCCTGCCATGCTACCAAAACTCCTCAGCCTCATTCGCATGATTTGGATGAATTCGGAACATTATAAAAGTCGAGAAAGATTGACAAGCCTTCTGAGAAAGGTAAAATTTAGTAATACTTACTAGCTGGCTATCTACTTATACCTACCTACGTACTTACCTACCTACCCACCTACCTACCTACCTACCTACCTACCTACCTGTCTACCTACCTACCTACCTACCTACCTACCTACCTACCTACCTACCTACCTACCTACCTACCTACCTACCTACCTACCTACCTGCCTACTAACTTAACCTAACCTGACCTAACCTACCCATTTATTGGAGGGTACTGTGCAATTCGTTTGTAACAGCAACAGTATATTAGTTTTCTTGGTATTGTTTCAACTCATATCTTCTGTAATTGACTATTGCAGGTTAGCAACGAGATAATCAGGCGTTGTACAAGTACAATTTGTCTGGATGATATATTTGAAGGACGTATACAGACCAGCCTTCGTGCGTTACAAGAAAGTATAGCTTGCTGTGAATCATGGAAGGAAACGTATGCAATGGTGAGTGCTTGTAGGTCTGTTAGTATATGTGGTACATTTTGAAACTAAATTGAACTAACTTTGTTTGTGCTGCATTGCTCCTCGCATTGCTCTATAAGTTCTATATAATACAATAACTTTAAAAAGATTTATTCGACGTTTCGACTAGATTTGAGATTTATCACTAAAATCTAGTCGAACGTCGAATAAACACTTTTCAAAATGTTTACCGTTTTTAGAGTTACTTTTGTCAGTATTGTATTAAATTAAAATTCTCAGTAGTTGTCCCAATCTTGTACCCAGGGTCTTTCCTCTTGGGGAGAAAAGACCCTGGTAGGCGCTGGTCACGTGATCTGCTAAAATCTAGCAGATTTTTAATTAATTATCTTGGATTCCTCTACGACCATTGAACTATAAGCAAACTGGAACGATAACTCCTATAAAGGCCTATGTGAATGTTTGGGTGAAGCCAAATTTCGGCCGCTCAAGTATAGCCTGTTCGCAAGTATGTACACGAAAATAAATACACAAAATTTTTCACGAAGTATTTTTACTAATTTAATCCTTAATTTTAACTTATTAAAGTACGTTTCTAGATGTGTGGACATCCATTAACAACTGTATCTAAGATTTTTCTACATAAATTGTATAAAATTGCCTCTGAACTCTTTCTGGAAAGTCTAAAAACCATACATTTTCGCGCGGTTTTTTGCCGAATTTTGTTTTGTTCGTGTCATATTTCGGCGGTTAAACAATATTTGCTTATTTTATGTGCTTTAGATCAAAGCTGTGTTGTATACATGAGCTCTAGGATAAATATAATGCCTTGAAGAAAGTGAAAGTGGGGAAATTTTAACACTTTTTAAGCTGTATTTTTCGCATCCATTTTGTAAAAAAGGACTGAGGCTACCTGCAGAAACACTCATGGCCGGCTTCAAAGATGGCGGCCAACTTATCGTTCCAGTTTACTTATAGTTCAATGTTTACGATAATCATGCAAAATGCAAATTATAAATTAAACTATAAAAATAATCCACATACAAAATATTTATTGACCTCATTTTGGTTGCTAATTAAAAATCTGCTAGATTTTAGCAGATCACGTGACCAGCGTCTACCAGGTGCCAGGGTCTTTTCTCTCCAAGAGGAAAGACCCTGGGTACGAGGTTGTAGTGGTTCTCGCAATTTCTACAAGTTCTATACGGTTTTCTTTCGAAGCCCACTAAGAGCCACGCGTTATTGGTCTAGTGCTAGTGGAGAAGAAAACCAAAACACCCGTGGAGGACGTACCGTGTTTCACCCAGTCAATGTGACCATGGCGAAATTATAATCAGAAAACTGCATATGGCAGGAATCGAACCAGGTCGCAAAGGCGAAAAGCACGTAACCACCTCATAGAATTATTACTACATTCACTACGTTCTCTTTCAAGTTTCCCTTTGATTTGTGCCTATATAGATAAGTCGAGTACATATAAGATGTTCGTCGCAAGGCTGGATACTTGATCAGACCAGTATCTTTGCTCAAATTGATGCTTTTCTCCAACGGTGCAAGGATTTAATTGAGGTAGCTATGAATTAAAACAGCTGCCGTATTAGATACGCTTCAGCAGCCGGGCTTGAAATTCAGCCCTGGATGAAAAGTCCTCAAGTAATCAGCCTAAAATTCGTGAGGATTTATATTTCCTATTTTGATCCAGGTGTGCGAAGGTCAGATGCATTTCGCTCGACGACATGAAGGTCCCAAGACGCCTTTACCATGTTTTCGAGGAATTCGTGGTCCCGAGATTGTACGTAGCTTGCTAGAAATTGAAGCAACATTTGAAAAGAATTTACAAATTTTGAAAGATGTTAGGAAGACGATTTTGGACGTGAAGGTACTCAAAGTAGTTTGTAATTATTGTATGAATTTTTTGCATGCACTGCGGCCATCATGGGTAAATACGAGTATTTAGATAACCCAGTTTAATACTTAGAAAGTTACTTTTTCGATAGAGACTCAACGATAAACCTAAAGGTATAGGAGGTTATAATCGTGTTTGCCTAAAGAACATGATATTGAGGAAAGACTGTGTACAGTTTGGACAGTGTAAAACGCATGACTCTGAAGAATGGCGACGTGTCGAACAGAATTAGGAATGAGGATAGATATTTGTGTTCGTGCACGTCGCGGTATTGCAGGCCTTAGGATTTTCTATTTATATTGTTTATTAATGAGCACAATTTCCATCGTTATAGGCTACTACATGGCACGATGATTATAACAGGTAAGTACGAATACAATTACTCTCAGTAAGTACTCTCACATAAATTGATTGTATTTTCTTCTGGTATGATGTGTTGTTATTCAGGTCTCAC